GAAATTGCAGTACATAGAGACTGCGAGACTTACCAGTAGTGAGCACGAAGTGTTTTACTCAAAGTCATCGAAGCAGCTGCTTGTTGACGCTGACAAGTTGCTGGTTAAGGATGAGGCCAAGGTCCCTGACCAAGCGGCGAGCACAGAACTCCACGTACTTGAAGCTCTGAAGAAACGTGGGGTGGCGTTTGCATTTATCGATGCACTGTTTTGGGAGGTTCATGAGCGTTACCTCCAATCCCTTCTCAACCACTTGCAAACGGAGGCGCCCGATGGATATGTGAAGACAACATTACAACCGCTTCTCCGAGCCGACCGGCAGGTTTTTCTCACCATGAGTCGCAAGGATGTGAATGTTAGAGGAAGACCGGATGATACTCTGGAGATGGATACAGAGATCATGAACGTACTGCAGTCCTACGAAGTACGTTTTCATTTGATGCCCCTGCCAAAGGCCAAAGGAGCCAAAGCCAAACCTCAGCAGCCCTCTACTTCTGGACAACCAGGCCAGCCATGGAACTGGCAGTCACACGCGGGCCAGCCTTATCACAAGGGTTCAAAAGGAAAAGGAAAAGGAAAGGTGAAAGGGAAAAAGGTGGCAAACATCTTGCCAGCCGAATCGCAGAACAAAGGATGTGTTGGGATGGACGACCATTATCGAAGGCTGTGTTTCAATTTTGACTTCAACAAGTGCCAGGGCGCTGCGCATGGAGCAGAATGCAATCGTGGATGGCATTTGTGTATGAAAAGAGTTGCCATGCGCCGCATAGCCTCCTTGACCATGATGAGAACCGAAAGCCTTGACGATTAGAACGCATCTTTGACTTGACAAGCAAAGGCGCTAACTGGAAGATGGCTTCACAGTGGAGACCTTTGCATTTTTCTCACATGTTGCGGCCTCGTTGGAACAGCTGGGCCTCTGGGGTAGTTTTGGCATTGACGAAGTTTGTTCACAGAACGCTATGTCCAAGGTTGTCATCGCTGATTTTACAGCCCCCAAGGGGAGGAAATTTTTGATGAGTTGGCTAAGTTTGCCTAACGTGGTCAGGACTGGTTTGTGCTTCTCCTTAAGGACCTGCTTCAAGAGCATGTCAATTACTGTTAAAAAAAAGGAAGTTCAGCGGCAAGGGAGATCAATTTTCAAGCGGAGTTCCAGACCCCAAACTGAGTTGGGTATCTCCGGCCGATCAGATATCTCATTTGACTGTGAAGTGAGAAAATTGGGCTGGTGCTCTTTGCATGTTTTTCCTGTCGTTTTGAACCTTCAGTTCAACTTATGTTAGAACCACAACCTTTTGCACCTATTTTGCACACCTGCCATGTATTCAGTCCATTCATCATGTCAACGTGTGGGATGTGTAAAAGAAAAACAATGCTGACTTGAATGCCGGTGGATTTTTGGCTGTGTCGGCAATGTGCCCAGAACCAAATAGCCGCTATAAACGCGCCCAATGGGGACCGAATGCAACCAATGGGTTTTTAGCGGCTGATGAAACAGCCTATCCAATGGGACTGGCGCGCTTGATCACAGTTGTTTTCACACATGTGCTGTTCCGATGTGGCATCTATCCATTGCCGGATACACTGGAACAGTTGCAGCCGCGCCTTCTGCAGAAGTCACCGCAGATGAGGGCTTCTGTTGAATCTCACGCGAGATCATCCAAGATCCCACAACCACTACGTACATACAATCAATGTTTCAGAATTCGAGGACCCAGGTCCATTTTACCGAATTTCTCTGTTTTGCTTGATGCTTTGTTGATACAACAGCCTCAACAATGGCTGTTACAAGGATCCCGACTTCTTGAAATTGAACGCGTTTCCCTCTCACACCAAAGGGGGACTGAGCATCGAGGAAACTGGCCCAGGTCGAGTTCATGAATGCAATGACGAAATTTCTGACGGCCAAACTTCTGATGGCCAACCTTCAATCAGTTGTGAAATGTTGACGAACAATATTACGATTGCAGAAGGCTCTTTATTTGAATATGATGCTGGAGATGTTGAAAGCACTGGTCCAGGGCGAGTTCATGAACGTAATGATGGAATTTCTGACGGCCAAACTTCTGACGGCCATTTTTCAATCAGTTGTGAAACTTTGGCAAACAAGGTTACAATTGCTGAGGGTTCTTCATTTGAATATAATGCTGGATATGTTAAACGTCATGCAGGAGAATGTGGGCTCAATAATTCCGTTTCTGGCAATCATTTTTCGGCAGGTTTTGACAATTCTGACAACGAGGTTGCAACGGCCTTTACAGGCGAAACTTTGCAAACCCTGGCCTTGAGCGAGGAAGGCTCAGGCGCCACTGGGGATTGGCAGCCTCGGGTTTGCGGGACTCCTTGGACATTGTATGTTTTTGGTGACGAGGCAGTTGTTGCGAGTCACCCAGTATGTCAGCACGCGTCTCTGCCACCGTTGTTCCGGGATTTTATTGAGAAGCCTCTGATAAAGTCATGCTCACAGTGCATGGCTCATAGGGCTCAAGCTCTGAAACAGAGGCTGCTGAGGTCGATCCGATTCGAAGCTCAGAAAGAAGAGTTAGTGATTTTCTTTGACTCCGAGGCCGTGCATGGAGTATGGGGCCAAACACTACCAGAAGTTCTTCGTGGAGAAGCCGATGGGTCCTCCGATCTGAGTGAAGTGCCTTCGAACTTTCCAATCAGAAGGCATCTTGGAGGTAAGCAGAAAGGAAAGATGAGGTGTTTGGATGATTCTTTCTGGCCTGGGAGAAGCGCTGCATCACAGCCGAGGGAGTCCGCGCTATCTCACACCCTTGGTGCAGTGACAGAGTCGATCCGCACAGTGTTGTGTCACACCGAAGGCAATTGCCCCTGGGTACCACGGAGCTTTGACCTGAAGGGTGCATGTTGGCAGTGTGCAGTACATCCTGAAACCAGGCAGTTTTCATACCTGGTCGTTGGAGTTCCCCACACATCTTCATCGGATCAGGTGGTGACGTCGATATCCATTACAAAACTTGAGGCCGCAATACATGCCCTGTCCTGTCTCAGAGACATGCTGGTCAATGGTATGCTGTGGATGATTTCATCGAAGGATGCAACAGTTTGGTACATCTTCACCGAAGCCTCGCATGAGCCACATGAGTCCGAACCATTCTCTGGCATGCGCGGTGCCTTGACGGACCGGTTCGTGTACCGACGCCGCTTCCTTTCAGAAAGATTGTTACCTGGCCTCTTCGTAGGAATCGAGGTCTCAATGGAAGACAATGATCTACGAGCGCAAATTTCTTTTTGTGCCTGGTGCAATGAGTGCTTGGAAGGTTTTTCTTCATCAATGCAACATGGTGACCTATGCCGAAAATGACGCTGTCAGGGACGCATTCATCGCTTGCCAAACTGGCAGTACAATTTCTCCTTCATTGCTTGATGCTATCCTTAAAACGAGGAATGGTGGTGAATGTAACTCCTGGATCAGTTGTGTGCCAACGGAATCCAATATTGCAGACGACCCCTCGCGTCTTCAAGTTGATCATCTACCAAAATGTGGATGTTTGCGAAACTTTGTCATTTGTGCAGACATTTGGTGGAGCACTGGAGGCAAGCCTGGCAATGTTGAAAAAGGGGGAGGCGACAGACCAGCCTTGCACACCCCTTTGGAAAAAAAGAAGGTCTCATTGCAAGCGAGGGTCGTCACAGCAGAATTTAAGGAAGCAAGACAACGGCAAGCGAACTAAATTTTGGTGTGAGGTGATGAACTTCCGTGAGTCAACCGAGCTCTGGCTTACAGGTTTGAATGTCAAACATGTTCAATGTGAAACAATGTTGATGACAATGGTCGTAACTTCAACATGTCATATGTTCCTTTTCTTTGTGAAAATTTTTCACGCCCACCCTCAGCCTCCCTGATACCTTGTCAGGTGGTTGGGGGTGAGCCAAGCCCAAAGCCTGGCGACAGACCAGCCTTGCACACCCCTTTGGAAAAAAGAAGGTCTCATTGCAAGCGAGGGTCGTCACAGCAGAATTTAAAGCCTTTTCAATTCCCCCATATAAAACGTTTGAGAAGTGACTACAGTCGCGAGCCTTTCAGATGCCCGGCACCATGTTTTAGTCATCATTGTTTGGGGTTGTTGGCGACATTTTTTTCCTTCGCAATCTTCTGCAACAAAAACTCCCTGCCAAGACAGCAACTCCAAAGCACGCATCATTTATTCCAGTGGCATTTGAACCACAACGCACCCAAATGGTTCGTGCTTTTGATGCGCCAAAACTCCTTGAAACCAGATGGCGTTGTTTTTTTTCGCGCAATGTCTAATGGACGTTTTCAAATGTTTTCTAATCCCACGAGGGTGGCTGAAGGAAATCGCCGGTTTCAAGACGTTGTCCAAGTCAAGATGGTTTGCGGTATACAAATGGATATATTTTAATTTCGCGACGATGTCCATCATTTTGATAATGTGCAATTTTCTTTAATAACAATTGTATACTAATTGTTACCCCTATAGGGATACCTAAAATTATTCACGTAATTTTGCAAACATTTTTGGGATTCAGTTTTTGCCAAAAGGCGATACCACCACTCTTCCAAACCACAACACAGGGCACTTTTCACGGTGCATGCAAATGAAAACAAACCAATTTGGAGGGAACATGGTCATTTTCACAGCCTCAACTAGTCACTTGGGTTTTGACTTTGCCTCATGATTCATTTCTGCCGCATTTTGTGTTGGATCACTGAGCCAAGCCCTGACAGCATGATGAAAAGTGGAGTTGGGCCCCGTCTTCTTGACGGGGAAACCAACTTTTGGGAAACAACTTTCCAGCACTTCGATTCTGAGCTAATTTCATTCCGGCTCGGGTGTTTTGGGCGTTTGATTTTGTGTAAATTTGTTTGACATGATTCAGTTTCAACAACGAAACATGTGTAAATGGATGATTTCATAGTTGTATGGGCACAAACATTTTCATTTACCAACCCGCAGTTACGGATTGGATGCAACATCCATCAGTGGATGTTTCCACACGACTGAGGACAGTGGATGAGCGCTTTGGTTGCCCCGGAAAGCAACCCACCAGCAGGGTCTTTCAAGATCGAGATCGATCCCGATGATCCTCGTAGCTTGGACGGATATTTTGTGGCGTGAAACATTTTGATCCATTTTTGCATACAAATTGACGGCAGTTTGTGGACATCAATGGCATCATTGCTTGGATGTTTTCCTGGGTGTTTTCCATTTCAGGAAATCCAGGTAGTTTGGGACATCCATATGGTTGCAAACCCTGCAACAAATACAAACCTGAGCGGTCGGGACCCCAGCGAATGCATGTCATGGTTGGATCATTTTGCATCATTTGAATCACATGTGGTATGTCATGTCTTTCAATGCTTTTGATTTGAACAAAATCTTTCATTCGTGCACCAGGCCAAATGACTCTTGCAAACACGCTGCTACCTGTTCGTTTTGTCACGGCAAGGAGTTATGCAGTCCGCACAGCACAATCCATGTTGCAATTTATGTGTTTCGTGGTGGATGTACAATGTATTGGTTTAGACAGTTGCGAATCCCATCGAATAGCCACAAATTCAACGGAGTGATTTGTTTCATTGTTCAGATGTGTGCCGTTTGCAATGATAACATGATGGTGGGGTTGAAGAGTTTGAAACTGGCAAGTGATTGTGCCGTTGTCTGTCGCAAGTGCGCTTGGGTCATTTATTTATTGTCGAGGTTTTAATTGTTCCATGCCTGTTGATGCTATGCACTTGTTCAAATCATTGTGTCGTGCCCTTCTCTTGTTACCCATTTTCGTGTCCCAGTCACTTTCCTATCAATGATGCCGTGATTGTATCTGATGGCCCGATTGTGGTGTTGATCTGTGTTTATGTAAGTGGGTTTTCTTTTTGAAATTTGTTTTGGAGTGTTTTTTGGTGATTCGCATTGTCTATTATGTTTTTGTGTGCACTGTTCATGATGGGTTGGATTGTGTTTGGGCAGGGAATTGAGCTGACGGGGGTGAGGTGCATTTCGGGCCAGGTCTCTGTTTGCACTGGCACTTGCTTCATATTGTTTCCCGCATTCAAGCTGGCGTATCAGACATGTTTGTTTATTCGTTGATGTATCTAATGCATTTCAATGCAATGTGCTGCAACTGATTACTTGATTTATCAGTTCATTATTTTACATTTTACATGAAGATGGGTCTATATACTTGCCAATTTTTGTATATATGTAAGGCAGTGTCATGACTGCAATGCAATGCTGTGCCATGCAATTAGATGTACTTACTTACTGACTTACTGACTTACTGACTTACTCACTCACTCATTGTCTCACTCATTGTCTCACTCATTGTCTCACTCATTGTCTCACTCATTGTCTCACTCATTGTCTCACTCATTGTCTCACTCGCTCACTCACTCTCTCATTTACTTACTTGCTTACTTGCTTACTTGCTTACGTATGTACGTACATACGTACTTACTTACTTACTTACTTACTCACTGACTTACTCGCTTACTCGCTTACTACTTTGATTCATCGGTTTATTTATGTGCTTATTTTTTCCGTAATGACTTACCGAGCATTAATTTTGTGTGTAACTTGCTATAATTCAATGTCATGTAATTCAATGCAATGTAATGGCACTGCAATGAAATGTAATATAACGTAAGACTAATCAATTTATCGTAAGTTAGTGATAGTTAGTGTAATTTCATGTAGTTTAATGTAATTTATATAATGTCATTTAATGTTGTTTAATGTAATGTAATGTAAATTAATGTATTTTAATGCAGTTTTATGAAAGTTAATGTAACTTGATGCCATTTAGTGTGATTTAATGTCATGTAATGCTTTACGGAGGTAATTGGTTGATTAATTGATTTGTTCATCATTGACATGTCTTTGGACATTCATTTATACATGACTAAGTCTGTGTATATAGTATATGTATATATATATATGTATGTACGTATAGAAATGTAATATACCTATATAAAAATTACACATACACATTATATGATACCATTTATGCTATTTGTATTCATTACATGAAACATACTGTTACATAAGAGTACATACATCTAAACACATGTTTTACATAAACTTCTCCAAATATAAACATATAGATACTGTGTATATACTACATGCACATATGTGTATATATATATTGCAACATTTATCATAACTTTCATAGACAAGAGGGAGCAAACAAATATGTGATGAACAGAAATGGTTTCTGGAACAACAACACGAAGTGAGAAACAATCGACACATGTATTTTGGCCATATTTTTGGGTTTAAAACCTGCCATGCCTGAGAGGGGGCGATCCCTTTTTTGATGACCATGTTATGTTGCAGACACGGTCCCTGCACTGTATTTGTTTTGGAAAGTCGGAAGTACATGCTCACAAAAGTACATACATACATACATACATACATACGTTATTACGTTACATACGTTACATACGTTACATACGTTACATACGTTACATACGTTACATACGTTACATACGTTACATACGTTACATACGTTACATACGTTACATACGTTACATACATTACATACGTTACATACGTTACATACGTTACATACGTTACATACGTTACATACGTTACATACGTTACATACGTTGCATACGTTACATACGTTACATACGTGACATACGTGACATACGTGACATACGTGACATACGTGACATACGTGACATACGTGACATACGTAACATACGCGACATACGCGACATACGCGACATACGCGACATACGCGACATACGCGACATACGGGACATACGTGACATACGTTACATATGTTACATACGTTACATACGTTACATACGTTACATACATTACATACGTTACATACGTTATATACGTTACATACGTTACATACGTTACATACGTTACATACGTTACATACGTTACATACGTTACATACGTTACATACGTTACATACGTTACATACGTTACATACATACGTTACATACATACGTTACATACATACGTTACATACATTATACATACATTATACATACATCATACATACATTATACATACATTATACATACATTATACATACATTATACATACATCATACATACATTATACATACATTATACATACATTATACATACATTATACATACATTATACATACATTATACATACATTATACATACATTATACATACATTATACATACATTATACATACATTATACATACATTATACATACATTATTACATTATTACATTACACATACATTCCATACATTCCATCCATTCCATCCATCCATCCATCCGTCCATCCATCCATCCATCCATCCAACACATCCATCCAACACATCCATCCAACACATCCATCGATCCGTCCATCCAACCAACCAACCAACCCATCCACCAACCGCCCAACCAACCAACCAACCAACCAACCAACCAACCCATCCAAGCAACACATCCATCCATCCAACCAACACATCCACCCATCCAACCAACACATCCATCCACCCATCCAACCAACGCACCTATCCATCCATCCATCCGTCCGTCCATCCGTCCATCCATCCATCCATCCTTTCATCCATCCTTTCATTCATCCTTTTATCCATCCATCTTGCGATCCATCCATCTTGCGATCCATCCATCGATACATAGATACATAGATACATAGATCCATACATACATAGATCATATAGATCCATAGATAGATAGACAGATAGATAGATAGATACATAGATAGATAGATAGATAGATTCATATATACATACATACATGCATACCATGCCATGCCATGCCATTCCATTCCATTCCATTCCATCCCATCCCATTCCATTCCATTCCATTCCATACATATATACCATACATACCATACACACCATACCATACCATACACACCATACATACCATACATACCATACATACCCTACATACCATACATACCATACATTACATACATTGTTACATTACAGTCATTACAGTCATTGCAGACATTACAGACACTACAGACATTACATACATTACAGACATTGCATACATTACATACATTACATACATTACATACATTACCTACATTACATACATTACATATACTACATACAGTACATAGATTACATATATATATATACATTACATGCATTACATGCATTACATGCATTACATGCATTACATGCATTACATGCATTACATGCATTACATGCATTACATGCATTACATGCATTACATGCATCCATGCATCCATGCATAGGTGCATAGATGCAAAGGTGCATAGGTGCAAAGATGCAAGGATGCAAAGATGCAAAGATGCAAAGATGCATAGATGCATAGATGCATAGATGCATAGATGCATAGATGCATAGATGCATAGATGCATACATTACATGCATTACATCCATACATACATACATACATGCATACATACATACATACATACATACATACACACTTACATACTTACATACTTACATAGTTACATAGTTACATAGTTACATAGTTACATAGTTACATAGTTACATAGTTACATAGTTACATAGTTACATAGTTACATAGTTGCATAGTTGCATAGTTACATAGTTACATAGTTACATAGTTACATAGTTACATAGTTACATAGTTACATAGTTACATAGTTACATAGTTACATAGTTACATAGTTACATAGTTACATAGTTACATAGTTACATACATACATACATAGTTACATACATACATACATAGTTACATACATACATACATACATACATACATACATACATACATACATACATACATACATACATACATACATACATACATACATACATACATACATGTAAATACTGTGTATATATGTAATATCTATACATCTGTATATGTAGGCGTACGGGCAAATCGATTTGTTCTTTGCTGTCAATCCGTTTATCGATGTGGGTTTTGTTGTATTTTAACCACTGCCAGTGAATGCCTTACCAGGAGCATGAACGCCCCAAGCACAGGGGACAAAGAGGGCGGCATGCCTTGCAACGCAGGCACTGCGGCGCTGCACGGATTGACTTACCCCAGAAGTAACCATGAATTGGTGTTATCCATAAATAGTTGATTCACTCGTTTCCATTTCTTGGCAGGCTTGTGACATTGCGTGCGAAAGTTCAGCAAAACTGTGGTCACTTGAGACGACAGCTCTTTTTGTTCTGCGAAAGAATCAGCTGCAGCCGGTCATTCTTCAGGGTGAAAGAACGTAACACCACTACGACATGCAGAGCAGTTGACAAAGCCCTTCCACAAGAACTTGTCAAAAGAGAAATACCCACATATGCATCATATGCAAATGATTACACCGAGCATGGGCCAATGGGGGGACTCAAACACTTTAAAGTGGCAGATTTTAAGGAGTCTTTTTGCCTAGCGGCCTAGCGCAGATGCTCAGTTTTGAAGCCGCGTTTTTGCGGAAGAATGGCAGCATTGAACGCAGAACGCCGCGTGCGTCCTCGCATTGCTCCAGCAAACCCCGTGTCTCCTTTGGTCGGCAGTCTGAGATTCTGCAAGTGTCAAGACACTGTCTGTGCAAAACAAAGGAGGTCTCAGATATACAGTATCCTTAGTCAGATCAATCAAAGATCCCTGTGATGCTACTGTGACGATAGCTGGTGGTTGCAGTGGTTGCTGTGGTTGCTGGTGTTGTTGCCATTGTAGCACTTCACCTCGTATCATTTTTACCCTGTGATTGTTACTCAAACTACCTAACCCATCCTAACACTACTCGCTGGACCATGTGACGAAGAAATGCTGGTGATGAAGTAGGCCACCCACTTGCGAGGTCCGGATCCTGCAGGATGGCGTTGAAGCGGGATTGGTCGTGAAGGATTCGGAGGCATCGATCTACACGGGCTTTCTTCAGTGGCAACATGTCAAAGCTTCCAACTGTCGGTGGCTCGGATTTGATAAGACCAACGTTGCCAGAGTTGTTTTTTGGGATTTGCAAAGCAACGCTTCAAACATGTTTCAACAGAATTTTGGGATGAGAAGGACCAGAAAAAAGCACCACTGCAATGTGTAGGTTTGAGGCCATGAATTCCAATCGGGCCATCAACGATTCCGTGGTGGAGGCCAGATTCAAGGAGAATCTGGAAGAGTTGGCAGCCCACGATCGCTTCAAAGACTTTGGACAGATCAATTTGCTGATTTTGCTCAACGACCCTCAGCATGTCTTCTATGTCATGGATGGACAGCACAGGTTGCTACAATTTCGCTGGGCAAAAAGGAGACTAATTAGAAAACAGATTTTAATGATGGAGTTTGAATGTTTGGGATTGATAAAGTGATGATAGTGAAGTGGTGAGATGAGCATGATAGACATCGCAAGATCTTCACGGTTTGAATGATCTTTTGACAGTCACCAGCTGTCGTAGCAGATCCAGATCTATCAGTTTCAACCGAGTTGACCCTCAGAGGTGCAGAGTCATGGAACGATTGCATAGACACACCAACCGCGATATCAAGTTCCAGTTTCGAGCAAAGGCAGTCTCAGATGCTCGGTCGAAACGCCGCTTTCAGGCTGTAGAGTTGATGACTGAGCTGGGTTAGTTACGGTTAGTTCTTGTTCCATCTCGTTTCGTCGTTGGCCCTGGATCTTTTTGGCAGTGAGGATGAAGCTGAAGCGCACCGAGAGTTGATCCATTTTCAAAATGCCTATCCTTCAGATCCGCGGGCCTTTTTCTCCAACAAAAGGGCTAGGCAAGTGGGAACCTCTGTGCTGCAGCGATTGAGAACCAAGTTTTCTTCCCAGGACAGAATTGAAGACATGTGGTTACTGTGGTTCAAGAACTTTCAACGTCCGATTGAAGAATTTGAAGAGCTCACAGCAAGAATTTCAGTGAAACATGTGAAACGACCTGAAACGACCTCTGTCAAGATCTGTCAAGCTCCGGATTCGGCAATTGCGGCAATCACCGGCAATCGCGCAGGATTTGTGGATGGATGTGACTACATTTCGTTCTGGAAAGAGAACTGGGGATCCCAACAGGCCAAAGTTGAACGATTTTCTGATCTTTTGGCTTCTTCAAGATTCGCAACTCCTGTCTTCGAGTGAGAATCTGGCCATTTTGCAATAGTTTTTACATGTTTTTAATATTTTTTGGGGTGTTGGATGGCTGTGGGAATTTTCTGGGATGTATCAGATGTATCTGTGGACTTGTCCATCAAGAAGCTACAGAAAGAAAGTGTGTGCAACCCATTTTTTGAGTGCGTCATCTCAGTCAAAGCAAGGAATGATGTACAAGTCTTTGAGCGTTTGCTGAAAATGAATGCGGTGATGCAACGGATTGCAAACGATGAAAGAGCCAAACTGGGAAAGGCCCCTGGTGCGACAGTGGATAGGACATTGCACTAGGCTTGGGTTGAAGGCACAAGCCCTACCACGTTGAAAACCGATGTTCTACACTTATCATAAAAGTTGGTGTGCCTTATCAATATACCTCTGTTTTTTTTTTTTCGTGGGTTTCCAATGTGCTGCGTTGCCAGGGTGTTACGGAGAACATGGTCCGTTCCGCACAGCGCTGGGGTTGTTTCTTGGGCTTCTTCCGAGTAGACCAGCTGCGTTGGTACGAACTTGCTGACCGATACTAAGCTAAGACCAGCGAAGAGCCGCTGGCATCCCCAATTTGGTTTTATGTTTGGGTAGATGTAAACATGATAAAAGATAAAATATGATAAACATGATTTTTGAATGGTTGGTTATGGTTGGTTAAAGTTGCCGTGACCCATTATTGGCTTTGCCACTCTTGTTTTTCCCTCTTGCCATGGGGGTATGGCTCAAACTACTGAGCCCAGGGAATTGATTCGCTGTGGTCAAGTATTCACGACACAGACACACAAATGTACGTACACCGTGGCACACCCACATGTGTACGCACACATGTACAGAGATACACATTTGAATAGATGTGAGATAAAATGTGACACACACACACATACGCATAGTGTGAACTAATCACACTGGCAGCAGATAGAAATCCAACCACGATAGCAAAATGAACTGACCCTGTCAGAATGAATGATGTTGACCCTGTCAATGAAAAGGAAAGTACCAAGGCGTCCCACGCCAAATGAATCCGCAGCTTTTGCACCACCGCTCAGAGCACCATGAACCGTCCAACGGTTATGTACCTCAACCCTATGCCCACCGCTATGGTGTCTTGGGAAGACATGTCAGCGGAGGCTGCAAGCTGTAACATCAAGTGGAATCACATCAAGGAACAGGTATTGCAGAATTTACACTCCCAAAATTCTGTGTTGATGTGACTCCCGGAACCACTGGAGAGCTTGTTTGCGATGGGCATTCGCTTGCAAACTGGCTGCTTCATCATACAGTTGAAAAGATCCTCGTTCTAACACCGCACGGAGAAGTGATGAATCCATGTTCTTTGTCAAGGGGTCGGCTAGCTGTAAGGCAGTTGGGATCCAACGGAAAAGGCAATGTTCTAAACACCTTTCTTTGATGAGTAAAACTTCAAGCGTAGTCCTATACTCCTCACACGTGGGCATGGCTCGTCGGCTGACGAGATCGAACAAGGATTTACAATCTGTAACTACAGTCGCTGCCGGCAATTGTCGGAATGCATCTTGGGGACATCTCCAATTAAATTCCGGTACCACCAAAGTGCCCCATAGGAGACGACACCATCCCATTTTGTCGATACTGCGTGACATGGAGAAAGCTTCTGCTGATAAGGTGGATCTGACCACTCGAGAAATCTTTTTGGAAGACCATGTTAGAGGACTAAGTGGAGCAACCTTATTGTTTTGAAGTTGGGGGGTAGTGGCAAATACCATGGTACCTTGGAACGAAGCTAATTGCTTAGGGCTTGCAAAGGATGCATCACCAAAAACCACATGAGTCAACTCTTGGGGATCAATGGCTCGGAAGCAAAGGGACACATCACTCATTGTCTGAGCTTCACGAAGAACCTTGTTGGCATCAAGGAGTGTTGACACAGTCGGCTTGGAAATTTGCACCTGAATTTCACCTAACTTGGCTGAAATATCTGGTCTTGTATTAGTAGTTGCGTACTGCAAACTTCCTATCAAGCCCCGGAGATTTGACAACTCCCTTTCGGTGATTGGTTCTTGTGGATTGCTTCTACGATGCTTACCTATCTCGATATGGGGAATGGCTTGCACATAGTCTTTTTGGCTGGCACGAATACTGAAGTCCGGAAGTTGTTCCAAATGAATCCCTGTGAAGACAAATTTTCGTTGCTTAAAGGAACCAAATGGTAGTTGTTGACGGAGTAGATCAAGTCGTGAATGAAACCATGAATCACCACCACAAATTCCATCATCAACATGTGTGCCGAGAACTCCATGTAAAATTCGTTGACCATTCTTCCATGTTTCAAGATAGTATACACAAGGCTCGAGCGGATGCATCTTAAAACCAAGGGTGTCAAGCTGTTTGGCTAGTTCTTTATAAAAGAGTAACGGTGCGTCAACCCTTCCATATGCATTGCCAATCAGAGCACAAACTTGGTCTTCAGAGAGCTGCATCCTTTCTCGCAGCTCTTTGGGAGGTTCCATGGCCAGAGGATTTTCGCTATCCGCTTTACCCCGCAAGAAGGCAGTCTTGATATCAAATGAAGTTAATAACCACTGTTTCGAGGCTATCAATTGCAAGACGGTGTGACGTCCTTCTTTTGTCAAGGTTGGTGCATCTCGGTTGACTTCGGTGATGCGGGGATCCTGGAATCCCAAAACCACCAAACGCGCTTTGGCCTTTCGTCCACCTGAGGAATTTTCATCATCTGAAACACTTTTCCAGGTTAAGACCCATCTCGATTTCAAGATCTGCTCTGGGTTTAGATGTTTTCTCAGGACTGGCTTCAGGGCGCTGGTTTGTAGCCAACAAGAGATCTCAGCATCCTTTGCGGCGGCAAAGAGTTTTCGATCTTGAAAGTTCAGGTCTTTCAATTGGACCTCGGCTCTTGCTCTTTTGCTTGCTGATGCAACTTGTGCCAACTCTTCTGGATGGTCGGATTGGGACCATCGCAGGAGATCCTGTCTGGAAAGTGGAACTTCCAACATGAAACATGGGTTCTCATGAGGATCTAGTGGTTCTTCAATGAAGGGCATTCCATCTTCAGCCAGACACACTTCACCTGAGTCGGTGCCATGATGAAAAACGGTCCATTCGTGCAGCGCAAGATCAACATTCAAACCGTCAACTTCGTGACATGTCAAGACCTGTGCATCTTCAACTTCTAGATCGGGAACATGGTTATCGGGATCATCCAAGTTACTGGCATTGTCAAGGTTTGGAAGGATATTATTCGGGGATTGGTTTACTGAATCTTGGTTATCTTGGGGTCCAAGAAGTGGAGTATTTGATGTGGAGTCCAAAGGTTCAGGAAAATTCTCACTTTCAGGTTGCATACTGGATTGATTACTCACTGGAACAAGTGGGGTTTCAGCAGGACTTCCGGGTGTATATTCATCTCCATCTGCATGGGCTTGTTCAGGTCTCAAGCCATCTGAGGAAATTTGACCAGGCACAGTTTCCGAGCTTCGTTGCAGGTCTTGAATTTGCTGATCAAGAGAGCCCGAGGCGCTCTGCCATTCACGCAAGGAAGACGGTCGGATGCTTTCCGGAGCACATCGCAAAAGTCTATCCCCATGGGCTACCCAAATGGTGGTGGTTCCTTCCGTGCAAACAATCCTAGCAGGCCCATGCCAGCGTCCAACATCTCTTCTACCACTGGTGTTCTTCTTTCTCCAATACATCACAGATTGTCCTATGGTGTAATGGCCCGGATGTGGATTGGACTTCCGCAACAATGCTCTACGGATGGCTGCATCATTGTCCGCAAGAAGAAACATCTTTCGAGCTCTTGACCTGACTTCCAAACTTTTACGAAATTGTTCACTGGCAAGATCATTTCCATCGGCAAGGCTATGGGCAGCAGTGGAGTCATCGGATGTCAGGGATGCTGGTAGTGGCGTGGATTTACCTAGAACTGCTTGTTCTGGAGAAAAACCTTGATGTCGGGAAAGTGCATTCTTGGCCTGGAAACATGAAAGGAGAACTGCGTCAAATTCTTGATGATTCTCTATGGTTCTTTCTTGATCATATCTGGTGAGCATGTTCTTAATAATTTGGCCATGACGCTCTATCCTACCTTTCTGCCATGCTTCCGTAGAGAACTTCGGCTCCACGTTGTGGCTTTGAAGGAAGTCAAGCCATTGGCTGGATCGGAATTCACCAGCAGGGTCGGAGTACACCCGTGATGGATGGCCGGCCCAGGCAAACCACATGTTGCTGAAAGCCGGAATTGCATGTTCCAGGTGTCTGTTGTCAAGACGACGGCCCAAATGAAATAAGGATGCCTCATCGATGCAGTGAAAGATAAAAACTTGAAATCCTCCACGTCCAGTCCAAAAGAAACCATCGATTCCAACCAAGTCATTAAACTCTCTGGGCTCATGAAGTTTGGCAGGTCTCTGATGTCGGAACTTTGATGATTCAACACAGGCATCGCAGATATATTCTTTGGCCGCTTCAACCACGTGTTCAGAAGCACCTGAAAGTTTCAAATGCTGAGCTAGTACATTAGGATCTGGATGCCCCAGATTTTTGTGAACCTTGACCAGATCTTGTTTTTCAGGATCGCTCAGCAGGCGAAACTTGGGACCATGCAATGGCACCGGTGGAGGTGCCCATCCCTCGCAAGCTATATTGCTGGTTCTAGCATGCACAGCAAAGGGCAAGTTCTGATTGCCGGTTGCACGAACAGCCGATGGGGGCTCAACATTGCCCTCGGGAACTTCGGGACTCTTGGCAAGTGCATCAGGCGGCTCGGATTCTCTGGAAGGCACTTCCGCTGATTCTGAACTCGGCAGATATCCAAACAAGGTGACAGTTAACTTACTGGGCACACTCTTGCGGATGCGTTGAGCACGAGTGCTTTTATGCCAGTCTTCAACTCCAAGATCGTGGATTTGAGAAGTCACCCTATGAATGCTGACAGTGTATCTTAAAGGAGCATGGTGTGAGGACGGTGCATGGAGTGGAACCTGAAACCGCTCAGTACCCCTACAAACAAACATGTCAGTCATGACCATAGTATTCTGGAGGATCTGTTGGGCTAAGTGCCAAGCCTGGGAATCCATTGCGCATCTTGCATTGCCCACTCTTGGGGCTGACTTGATCGCCTCTTGCATAACCACTCGCCAGGGTTCGGACCCTGTGGCCAGGTCAGGCACTGCGGAACTTGGTTCTGCGACATCAGGATTCGGATCCTGAGAGTGATGGTCAGTTTTGTCATTGTTGGCATCCTCATGAACACTGGGCGTACCAAGAGACTCGGATTGTTCTTTGCGTTTTCGCATGCTGATACCTTCGGATTTCAGTCTCTTTGGTGGTCGTTCCAAAAAGGAATCATCATCACCTGTTAAAACTTGCTCTTCAAAGCCTACATAGGAATGAGATAGGCCGCACAACTTACTGGCCATCACTTTGGCAAAACCACGGCAGTAGGTCGCACTGAAGCTGGTCAGCCTCTGATGTTGGCCATCGATGACCATGTTTCCTTCAAGGCGTTGATGTTCATGTTGGTCTTTGCAGTGATGTCCATGAATGGCATGGAAAATTTCTCTGGAGGAGGTCATCAATTGGCTACGTTTACGCAGGAAACGATTGGTCTTCGGGATACGCAGGCCGAACTGACACATATCAAATCGGGCAATGGCAGTCTTTTGACGGATGACTTCAAAAATCTTCAGATGCAAAAGACTGGATCCCGCAGGCTGCTCAAAATGAAAGTGACGGCCATGTCGAAGCTGATACTTACAAATGCGTTCACAGAGTCTGGCATGTGGCAACTGTTCGTCTTGTTGTCCTTGAATTTTGTCTTCATTTTGTTCAACCTATTCCATCCTCCCCAGGGACCACATTCAGGCGCTAGCCAGACATGCTCAGGTTGATACATCTCTATCCAGCTCCAAAGTTTGTGGCGTCCTGAAAACGTAGACAAATCACCATCCTGTTTTGTGAACCTCAATGCACGATGTCCCATCTGTTGTACTGCTTCGGTGAGTGGACTGTTGGGATTGGCATAAATCTCTAACAAAAACACTCGAGACTTGGATGTTGGAAAAACGGTGGCAGTTTGAAGTGAATCCTCAAAATTTTGAAATGTTTGAAAAATAGCTTCATGTTGAGTTTGCAAACATGGTTTGGGACCCGATCTGGCAATTGATTCTCGGATGGCCTTCACTTCAGCAGAAAAATCGCTCTCACTCACAGATCGTTGCCCACCTCTTTCATCCACAACTGGCCATAGCGCACGAAGTCCTGGTGCTCGGGCATCAGGCTGGCATACCTTGCCAAGCTCCAGCTCAGATATCCTGGATCTTGCTGCATCACGGTGGCAAAGGTCTTCCCCTTGTGCTTGCGGCCAAAATTGATGGTGTTGGATCCCCACTCCTCCAGGGACAGATGTCCCGGTAACGGCAAGGTGGGTGCTGGCGGCACCTGTGAGCTTCGATTGGATGCCATGGTCAATGGTACACTCTGCAGATTCTGCTGGATCACAATCTCCTCCACTTCTTCGATTTCTTCCCAGCTGGCCGCCTGTGACACCACAGATGGCGTTTTGATCCTTCGTTGGGTCATTCCAGTAGGTGGTCCGGCCACGACCATCATAGAACCCCCTGACGGAGCCGACGCTGCAGCACTGGAGTTGATGACTCGAGTCTTGCGTTCGGGAGTCTTCTTCTGATTGTTGATCTCGTCCTTGAGGGACTCCAGCGAAACACTTTGGAGCTGAATCTGTTTCATCATCTCCTGGAGTTGCATGTGCGTCTCCGGGCTGTTCTCGGTCTCCATCTCGGAAATCACCTCTTGTTTTTCCAGCTGGTTCACGAAGATCTGCAGGAGCAAAGTGAGCAGATGAATGAGAGCCTCTGCGATTGATTTCAACGCACTGACCATTGGCGGCATCGTGATCTGCGGACACGGCGGATCTCTGGAACGAATTGGTGTGCTCACTTGAGTGAAAGCTTCTACATCGTTGGAACTTTGGTCGGTGCGTCACGGTGGCTTGGCGAAAGTGATTATCCCCATCAACTTTCTTAGATTTGACTATGTTAGATGTTTTACATCCCAAGTTACCCCATTTTGACTTGGATTGAAAGGAACATGAGGTCTCGGTTGAGACTGTTTCTTGATACATGGCAATCTCGTCGAAATAGCAAATGTCCAACATGTTAATCAGGTACAGTCCAGTTGGGCTGGTGGCCAATGCACTGGGTGTCTTTTGAACTTTGGACATGTGGCACTGATCGGTTTTGGAGTTCAAAGATCCATGCAACATCTTGAACGCACGCTTGGAAAACAAAAATGGAGTTGCACCTGGAACCACCTCAACTGACAACCAGTGTTTCTTGTTATCAACATGCTTCAAAGGAATCTGGATTGCATACTGACTAGTCAAAGTCTGGTTATTACCAAAGCGGAACTTGACTTGACTGGTCTGCTTTCGGAAGGTTTCGGCTAAGTTGCCAGGCAAAGCTTGCTTCAGCTTCTCAAGCGTTTTTTCACCGATGATGCAACGGCTTGCACCTGTATCCAAAATGGCATGTGTGCAAAAGGACTCAAGGCTACTGTACACTGGCATGGACGTCGAAATCTCAAAGGCATCGGATGCATTGGACGTTCGGCATGCTGTGCTGGGCTTCACTGAGTCACGAAATTTCCTGGGCAAGCTGTGCAAATCATCCTGAACATGTTTCTGCAAAACACCCTTACCAAACTGATTCCTGTGCTTATTAAAGTTGGACATCCTTTTACTGAGATTGACAACCCCTGAACTTCGACACTCATGAGACAGCATGAAACACACGGCTTCGGCATGACTCGAATGCAGGCTGGTTTCTGTGGCAGGCATTTCATATTCATCATCCTCAGAAAAAACTTCATCAAACTCGGCGCATGAATTGATCACTTCCTGAGGCCTCTCATCGAACACCACGTTGGCTGAGGCGGAAGGCATTGAACCTTGGGATTTCTCATTGCTACCAGCTTGAGGACACTCTGCTTTCCAGTGTCCCAAAGCTCCACATCGTCGACAATGACTCTTGGAGATACGAAGGAGAAGAGCATCCTTATCCCGAGATCTTTTGCCAAAACCCTTTCCACGACCCTTGTGGTTCTTGCTCTTACCCTTGATGGGCCAAAATCCACGGCTTTTCTTCTTTTCCACCAATTTCGATCTGGCTTCTATGTAACTGGTGAGGGCTTCAAACATTTCAGGGGTATCTTGAAGAAATTCCTCAAATTCACCTTCAAAAGTAGACACAGTGAGCGCATCCGCGTCCTCTTGGGCAATCAAGGTCTCCAAAAACTCCTGGTCCAGCTCGGGGTCAAAATCGTCGACCTGAGTGTGAAAAGCACGCTCAGAAAGACCAGATTCAAAACTTCGACCACCTTCTTGATCCTCTGACTGTTCCAAAACATTGGCCTCATACACCTTTGTCTTCTGTATGGATCGTCCCGTTTGGAACTCACTGAAAAACTTGCTTCCCAGCAATCGAAACGATTTGACCACAGGTTTGTATTTGAGCTCGCCCTCATGTTCCAGCAAGATGCGCTTTTTGTCGTCAGCGCTCAAGGTGGATTGACGTAGGAGGACATAGGCCTGGACCTCCTCTAACGTGGTATTTCGAGCCAACAGCTCCATGAAATTTGCTTCCATCCTGGAGAGAAAGCTATCATGAGATTCGTCACTTCGTTGGACTGTCCCGTACAGCGACTTCTCAAAATATTCATACTTCTCTTCCAGTTCTGTCGACCCCCAAGACCCTCCGATGGCTTCAACCAAAGTGGCTATGCCATCGGTAGACTTCACCTTGAGCTTGGCCGGTGAAATCCGTGCAATCTTTCTAAAGGCTGCCCTCGATCAAAAGAGCTGCCCGGGGCGCCAGCTGATCAAGGTACTCAACTGGCCACAGTGAAGCCAAAAACTTCAGCTTCTGAGTGTACTCCTGCACAATGGTGACGCCCGGGACAAACTTTGGGATCTGGCTCCAAGGGAGCTGAGTTACCGGTGGTGTCGGTGTTTCGTCATCCGGCACCGGTGGCAAAGCTCCATCTCCTGAAACACCAGGTGGCATGTTGCCAAATTACAGAAAAACTTGCAAGTCAATGTCGACCTCCCTGGATCGGCCACTCTTTCGGATACCACACAAGGCAGCCGGAGCACGAGGCTCCGCTACCAGTGTGAACTAATCACACTGGCAGCAGATAGAAATCCAACCACGATAGCAAAATGAACTGACCCTGTCAGAATGAATGATGTTGACCCTGTCAATGAAAAGGAAAGTACCAAGGCGTCCCACGCCAAATGAATCCGCAGCTTTTGCACCACCGCTCAGAGCACCATGAACCGTCCAACGGTTATGTACCTCAACCCTATGCCCACCGCTATGGTGTCTTGGGAAGACATGTCAGCGGAGGCTGCAAGCTGTAACATCAAGTGGAATCACATCAAGGAACAGGTATTGCAGAATTTACACATAGTATGTATATATATATATATATGTATATAATATGCACATAATGTTTATATTATACATAGCGACATATTAGAATATACGCAGTGTATACGCATGTGTATTCGCGTGCACTCCAAGTCTCCCAGTGCTGGTACAGACAAATGGCTCGACACATGTGGTTACATGGAACGATTCAACGATTGAGTGGTTGACCATTCTCTCAGTGAATCGCACGATCTGAGGATTGGCAGCTCCTGGCAACCCTGAGGAGGAACGCGAAGCTCGTGAATCTGTGTCCTGTGTCATTTGTGCCCTGCTTTGCAGGTGTTGGTTGTTGCAACAACCTTGAATGGTTTCACAGATAGACAAATCTATTTGTCTCCACCCCTCCACCTCTTGACCTCTTGACCTCCACAGTTCCACCTATCCACCTATCCAGCTATCTGCATATGCCTGTCTGTCTATCTGTCTATCTGCGTCTATCTGTCCGTCCGTCCGTCCGCCCGTCTGGCCGTCTATCTATCTCTCTCTATTGCTATCTCGGACTCTCTCTCTCTCTCTTTCTATGCGCATTATAAAATATCACTATACTAGTAGTATATTAATTAATATTAATTATATATAGTAATGTTTTTGAACTCAAGGACTGCAGTCCCACAAGTTCATCCTACTGAGGTCTGGCCGCATCCAGGAGCATCCTCTTCCGCCCGTGTCGCCACGTTTGCTGCTGTTCAGCGTGTGCAGAAAACCTGGATCGTTGCCCTGTGTGCCGTGAGCCTGCTGAGCTCAAGGAGAATGTCTACGTGCCTTGAAAAAAAAAGTCAGCTCCGACAAGCGAAAACGGATTGAGCTGCTGGGTCTGAAGGGCTCGCCTTTGGAGTTGGTCCTGGAGGCACCGTGAAGCAGTTGTAGATCGGCCCATGTACAGCGCAGGGCTTCGTGAGCAAGTAGATCTTAATGAGTCTTACTGGTTATCGAAAAACAAAAGCAACGCACTGCACCTGACCTTCTCACAGAAAGCTGACATTTGCCCACAGATTTTTGCGATGCTAGCTTCACTTCCATCAGGCAATTCCTGGAATCCCGAACAACCTTGAGACCGGAGTCTTGCTCTCAGCTCCAGATGCTAGGAAGATGCAGTTGCGCAGTTGCGCAGTTGCGATGAATTTCCAGCCATTTCTCCTGCCAAGTGGTCAGTGTGGTCAGTGTGGTCAGTGTGGATGAATGGATTTCTCAAGGCTGCGCGACATCATTGATACGATCTACAAGGCACTTGTTCGGATTTGTGAAGGTTTCTTTTTTTGCTTGTCCAGTTACTATTGCATGTCAGTTCCTTTGCAGCTGCTGAATGAAAAAAAATGTCCAGTTACAAGTAGAGCCTGGGCAAGCCGGGTGACGGAAGCTTTGAAAGAGGGAAGAACCTATAAAGACAAGGGAGAGCCTATGGGAACGGGCCAGGTGGCACGGCCATCGACTGCGTGATCTCTTGGAAGTCTTGGTCCTTGACATTTCTGAATTCTCGACATCTTTGTCTGATGCTGCCACTTTCTCTTGATCTGGCTTGCGCTTGTCATTATTGAATCTTGACAGATCTTCTTGTTGCCTGCTGCATGTCTGGACGTCTTTTTCTCCCTGACATCCCTGTTTGATGGTGACACTTTCTCTTGATCTGCGCTTGTCATCTCTGATTCTTGACAGCCTCTTTCTTGTTGACAGCTCAGGAGCCTGGGACCTGACACACCCTGCTCTTCTGACAAATCCCTTTCCCTACTCTCTTCACTCCCCTGCTTTCTTCACTGCTGTTTCCCTTCTGCTTCCTACACTCTTCAGTTCCCTATTCTCTTCACTTCCCGACCCTCTTCAACTATCTACTCCCCATCACATCTCTACTGTCTTAACATTTCTACTCTCTTCACATCTCTACTCACTTCACATCTCTAATCTCCTCATATGTTTACTTTCTTCACATCTCTACTCTCTTCATACTTCCCCAAGACACACTATGCGATTTCAAACATCTAAACCTCACCTGACAAAACCTTGGAAGCAGCCATCCCAATGCAAAATGCAAGCCTGGATCACCAAACACAATGGAAAAGCGCATGCAATCTTTCAAAGATCACCTCCGCGCGGCGCTGACAATGGGAACCGCTCGAGCGCAGCACGAGCGCAAACTGCACCCGTCGCACACACGAGGTTCCCCCCATCGACGCCGGGAGCCACTTTGTGCAAGAACGTGCAGGGTTTTCGTGCGATTTCTAACATCCAAGCATCACCCCTCAAAGCGTTGGAAGCAGCCATTCCAATGCAAAAGGCAAGCCTGGATCACCAAACACAATGGCACAGCGCATGCAATCTTTCAAAGATCACCTCCGCGCAGCGCTGACAATGGGGACCACTCGCTCCCAGCACGGGCGCAAACCGCACTCGTCGCACAGACGAGGTTCCCATCGACGCCGGCAGCCACTTTATGCAAGAACATTCAGGGTTTCGTGCGATTTCTAGCATCTAAACCTCACCTGAGAAAACCTTGGACGCAGCCATTCCAACGCAAAGTGCGGTTTCTAACATCCAAGCATCACCCCTCAAAGCGTTGGAAGCAGCCATTCCAATGCAAAATGCCAGCCTGGATCACCAAACACAATGGCACAGCGCACGCAATCTTTCAAAGATCACCTCTGCGCGGCGCTGACAATTGGAACCGCCCAAGCGCAGCATGAGCGCAAACCGACACTAGTCACACAGACGAGGTTCTCGCCATCGACGCTGGAGCCACTTTATGCGAGAAAACATAGGGTTTCGTGTGATTTCTAACATCCAAACATCACCTGGAGACAGCTGTTCCACTACGATCTGCAATCAGCGCCATGCAAATCACACTACAGCCGCGTCGACCACCTCTCTACTCTTCAACTTCACATCTGGGCTCTCCCACATCTCTACCCCCTCACATCCCTACGCTCTCCATCTCCAATCTTTGCACATCCCTATTCCCTCCATTTCTAATCTTTCCTCATCCCTACTTTCTCCATCTCTAATCTCTCCACATCCGTACCCTCACCATCTCTAATCTCTCCACATCTCTACCCTCTCCATCTCTAATCTTTCCTCATCTCTATTCCCTCCGTCTCGAATCTCTCCACATCTCTAGTCTCTCCATCTCTAATCTTTCCTCATCCCTACTCTCTCCATCTCCAATCACTCCACATCTCTACTATCTCCATCTCTAATCCCTCCACATCCCTACTCTCCATCTCTACTTGTTGCAATTATTTATGGTTGTGATTATGGATTGTGGTCCACATTTTGAAAATTTCGTAACACGGAGTTTAGACTACTAAACTTCCTTTGCCTAAGGCGACACAGGCAGCAGACATCATTAGATTGCTGTTGAAATCGCCGTAGGAGCCGCACGAGACTATGGATGCAATCAAGAGCCAACTCAGAGACCAATTCAACCCTGGCTCTGCGGATTGGGAAAGAGAGGCAGCATAATCAGCATCATGGTTTCAGTATATTTCAGTTGTTTTTTGCGTTTGGTGCAGAGTTTGCTCCTTGAACCGTTGCTTAGAGCTGGTAATTTTTCAGGTCGCCCTTGTCGTCCAACAGATTGGCAAAATCGGGGATGCGGCACAGAACAGTCGCCCAGACAATGTGTTTGCATCCTAGCTAATTCTTTGTCTCCGCTGTCAGGTTGGAAGCCCCAAAATTTCTGGTCAGCCCAGTCTCCAGACTAAGGCGTGTAAGGAAAGCCCGGGCAGAACAACCTCCTGAATCATCCCAAGTGGATTTAGAAAGCAGGCTGTGCAGACTTGTCGAGTAGTTTTTGCAGTCAGAGCAAGGATGATTTTCCATCGAACTTGTGTGAAACAGATTGTCAGAATCTCATCCATGAGGCCCATGAGGCATCATTCGGCATGAGACCAGGGTGGGCACACTGCCAGGTGCAAGTGGTACACTGGCACGCTTCATCTCATGGTGAGGAAGATGTGGGATGAGCAAAGACCCGAAGAGGAGAAACTCAAGGACCTGCCACGACCTGCCGCATCCAAAAGGAGGGAGAGATAGTTGTCCCCTGACAGGATATTACGACGACTGTGCGCGAATCTCTGGAAGCCTTTAAAGCATCTTGTCAGAAATAAATTGGAATCAAGGAAATTGCATTGCAAGCCGGCTTTGGAAACTGAATTGTTTTTTTGAAAAGGACATTCCAGTCATATGATATGATCTGTATGACTAATATTCCATTTTGTGTTGAAGCTGTTATTTATCTCTAGGGGTTTCGACTTTGAAGCATTGACAACGCCCGACAAAAAGTGCGTCAAATATTGCAGCAACCTGCAAGGCCCGTTGCCATTGCAAGTATGGTGCCGATTTAAAACACACTTCATAGGTTTGGTTTAAGGGACAATTTACAGGAAACTGCAATATTGAATGGTAAAGAAAAACATGGTTTCCTGATGTTTCCTGTAGGTTTTCATAACTATCCAAATTCTGAAACAACCTTGGCATTTGGAATTCATTTCATGTGATGCTGCTAGAGGAAATCATTGTAGATCTGGAAGCACGTCTGGGTCCAGCTGGTCGTCTCGAGGAAAGGACTTATGGATGTGTCAACGGCCAAAGGTCTTGGGTTATTCTTGACCAGCAAAAACTCCGAAAAGGGTATATCAACTTGGACTTGAACACATTTGCGGGCATCTGGTCAGTTGATATCAGTTCTATATCTGCAAATCACTCTTTGATGAAGTTGGCCGTGATGCAAGTTTCAGGAGAAGGTCAAAGCAGCAGCTGGACATCATGATTGGCTCATAGAAACGTTGAAGAAACTAGTGTGGAGCCTACAACTACAAGGGTACGTGTGGAAATTTGATATACCCCAAAATGGTTGTTGGAATTGGGACAATGACAATGAGAAACCGTTGGATTGAGGGGCAAATCATTTTAGACAAACCCATAAAGTTGAAGGCAGATATTAGAGGAGATTACAAGAACGAACATGGTGAAAATCATATTTGTTGACGGTTGGTGTGTGACAAATCACAGTTTAGATTGCTTGGGAGGCATTGCCGATGATCACTAAAACCTTCCTCCAGGTGAAAGAAGAAGCAGAAAGACAGTCTCTTCAAGAAACAGAAATTGTGGGCCAAGAGGCGAGTTGGCAGTGAGTTTTTAGTTGCAAGGGGACACATCAATTTTGCACCAGGATTTTGCTCGGACCGTTGACATTCTCGTGACATACTCGAGGTGTGGATTCAATTGAAGAGCGAGCTGCTTCACCTTAGAGAGGAAGCTGGAGGTTGGGCATTTTTCTTTTTTTTCTTCTCGCTGCCCGACAATATCTTGCTTTCTGTCCTTTTTGCTTAGGTACATTCTATAAGCATGTGGGCATAGGTTTCTAGTAGGTACAGGAGGGACCATGGCAGGCCTAATTGGCAGGGGTGGCCTCGACATGGCGACTACATTGCGGTGACATGGCGACAACATGACGACGACATCGCGACGACACGACGGCGACATGGCGACGACGTGACAACAACATGGCGATGACATGGCGACGATGCCCGCCACATCGCCGCCACATTGGTTGCCACAACTGCCACAGGAATTTCTGCCAACAAGACCTTATTGGCAGAAACAAGGTCACTTGGCAACCGATGTGGCGGCAATGTGGTGGCGATGTGGTGGCAATGTGGCAGCAATGTGCCGGCGATGTGGCGGCAACGTGGCATCGTTGCCATGTCGCCACCATGTCGTTTTCACGTCGTCATCATGTCGTCGTCGCGTCGTCGCGATGTCGTCGTCACTTCGT